TGTGTGCGAAGGAGGAACGAGCTATGATGGAAAGGCCATCACAAAAATTTGAACAGGCTCGAGGTTCTGAGCATATTCAATCTGTTTGCCTATATGCCAAAATTTTCAAGAACGTAGCGACAACTAGTATACTACAGACTGTAGTGTTCTCGAAGCTTGGCCTGAGGCTACTTCGTTTACAAGCTTCGATACGTTCTTAAGTTCATGTTTCCTCGACGTCCAGCTACGTGATCCAACAAATTTCTACTTTTTAAACTTGTTTCCAAACAATTCACCTGGGTCTACCAGAGTTCTCATCTCGTCTCTATTAATAATATGTATCGCGTTACGTGCACACGAACTATAATGTGTATCCGATTGGGAAACGACGTTTGTAGTACAAGTTCCCAATTCTCAATACGTTAATCTCATTGTTCATTATGCGTTGTTCCTTGATCCCTAATTGAAGAACGGAATATTGCGCGTGCCTTGGACCGGCAGATAATCACGCGTCCACAACGTAAAAAATCGTAAAAAGGTTCAACTGTATCCGATCTATTTGTTACTTAATAAGATCTGTAGCGTAGTAATTTTTGTTTCGAGATCAATCATTAAACGAATTATAAGAATATGCTCAACCACGTGAAAATAAAACGCACGTGTATGTGTTGTCAGCAAATTAAAATCTCTATGAAAATAACGTATAGCTAATTGTTTTTACGCTGTTTTCTAACGGTCAGTATATCGGTATTAGAAAACGAGAGCACCATGCATCATTGCTGACTCCTTGGCCTTCCAACGCTACTAAATTGTCCGTTTAAGTGTTCCACATGGGCGATAAACATCTAGATAATCTAACAAGGGTAAATATCAAGGAATGTACTGGAAATATTTATTGAACCGAATTCGAGCTATGAATAGCACGTAATATCCAAAATCAACAAAATAAAATGCATGTCTCATACTTTCTTCGCCATAATCCTGTCTTAAGTGTGATTTGAGAGCAATGTGATTTCGCATTCCAACATGATGATTTGAATATGGTGTTTAACAGACTACATTTCTCGGTTAGTGAAACCAAAAGGTAAATGTCCATCATCGTTCTAGAAAATGAAATACAAGACGTATACTTATCTCATCAACTTATGCAATTGCAAAATACACATACTGTACGATGATATTTATGAATCACCCCAGCTATACATATATATTTTATTGAAAAAAAAGAATTTTCAGAAAAACAGGTGTGTCTTAAATAAAACATTAAATAAAAATCGACACTCCCCTCCCAAAAGTTTGGCAGCCGGACGTCCCTCTACAACACTATTTAGTATGGACTTACGATCGAGAGGAACGGAATTAAGACTCAAACATATACAAGCTTCACAATTAGGTAATCACTATTTTCTCGGACATCAATACACTCTAGAGCTCGCTGGATGAAAAATTCACGACGAAAGTCTTCAATTTGCGATTTTATCAATTTATATGCAGATATTCTCTTTAGGATTCCCTGCAAACCCAACAACCTAAAATTGCTTCTTTTTCGAGATGATGGTTTATAATTAGAGGAAACACCAGATGCTAATTTCTCATTACGCCAAATTGAAAAACTGCGTTGTTGTCAAAGATTGCCGTTATAATGAATAAGATATTGTTTGAAAATGTAAGTTGGCATGTTGCCAAAATCAATTCAAAAATGATGAAAATGTTTTGTATTAACAAAGAATATGAGGTACATGTAAGTTAAGCAGTATGTGAATATAATGATGTCGCTCATTCAATACCTACATACATTGTAATTAAGCCTGACATATTTATTCAACCGTAGGCGGAGTACATGTACCTGAAATATGGTACCATTGGCACATTGGCCTCCGTTTTATTTTGCCGGTGTCTGTCTCAACCAAACGCATTTCTAGATACAAACACATGTTATGTTTACAATCCGTCGGGTTGATCATTTCCTTTAGGAGAAAATGTTTTATCTTTTGCAATGAACAGAACTGTGAAGAGAAAATCCGGCAGATATCCGCCATTATAAAGTGACACCAAAGAGTATAGAAAGTGTGTAAAAATCGTCAATCAAATGCAATTGGTTGAAATTTGAGATCCGACCTGATATTACACCATTGCTTATATATATGGAATATTGTCAACTTTTTTTTAACGAAAAACATTTTGGAAATCTGGCCAGGGTAAAGTAAGGCCATAACCGTTTGTACGACATTTTCCAGGAATTTTATCAGAATCAACTAGAAGTCTTTAAATATTATTCTGGTAATATAGTGTACTCCTGAGATTAAAGTTTTCTCGAAAAACCTTGGCAACTGAAAATTTTAAAATAATAATTTGCATACTTTCAAACAATCAAAAAATACTGTATTTGTTCAAGTGCATTGATATTTGTGACGTACACACTTTTCCTCATATATTAGCAATGATGTATTTTCAAAAACACTTTCATGGAGTACAACTATATTGAAAACTTGTTTTATAAGGTTACCATTCACTAGTCTGTGTTGATTCTTCAAAACCTCTCGTCACTTTAAAGCAAAAGAGATGTACTTCCATACTCCATACTCTATGGAATTCTAATATTACGCAGTGCGTTGTGGTTGGTAACCGTGAAAACAAATGCATGCAATTCTACTGTAAAGATGAATGATTATTTAACTCTTTAGATCAGGTCATGTCCTGAAGTTTATTAGACGAAAAGAATGTATCATTCTCATTTTCAAGCGGTCAGTACGGTGTTTGTTATACTGCATCACAGTGAGTAAGCTTTACTAATGACGAAAACGTTGCCTTTAAAGTAATGCACGGAGACCATGGAATTCCGACACTTCATGATTAAATCATGTTTCAACGGTCTGACGCGAGCTGAATATAACCCTTATTGTGCTAGTTACGATGTTTTCAACGATGTTTTGAGGAGGGAAAGTATCACAACAGATTTCGGACAGAAAGTTGGATTTTGTCTTTTGCCTGAGGATTCAAACAGGTGCATATGTTAGATCAATGCATTACCTCAAGAAAAGCACTCAAAGACATGATAAAATAATTCCGACTCTGAGACAGGTTAGATGCAAACAACCCACCCACATGTTTTTTTCTGAAATGTTGTTCTGATTTTCAACCCCTTCCACCCCTGCTTTTTTATTTTTTGTTCTATTAATATGTTTCGTTTTGACACACAGTAAACCTTTTAAAGGAATAAGTGATTCCTTCGGGAATTTTAAAGATATCCATTATGGGTGACCAAAATTAGCTGAGAGCAATGGATCCCATTAGTTTTCCCTATGGGAAAATAACATGGGAAATATTGTTTTCCACTTTATCTAAAAGTAGGAGGAGGAGTTCTCTATATACAGCCGTACTCAACCATTGTTCCATCTTTTAATATACTATGCACCATAATATATTATTTTCCACTTGTACAGGCTGAGACATCTTTCTCTCTGTACAATTGTATTTTCGAGTACTCTTTTTGAAAGATACTAGTAGCATCTAGTCGTGGTTCTCCCAAAATGAGAGATAGGCCCTACCTGTCGGGTAACTTAAAGTACTAAAATACCCTATATTCCGAGAATATTTCCAAACGTTCCAATGAATTCTCTGAAGGACTGATTCCTTGGAATTTCAAATGTAAGTTAGACCTACAAAAGTTTTTGTTTAATTTTTTCGAATCCGACTCCTAAAACATTTGAAACATGCAAATTGATTAAAAATGGGAGACCTCACTAAAACCATGAGAATCAATGGTAAGTTGAAAAGTGGAAAGTATTTCATGATCAATTCAAAAATGTTGACAAGATTGTAAAAACATTTTTAAGTAAAGTATACAAGCCTAGAGATTCAAGTGTGACTTAATCCCACACATCTAATGTTTGGTACTTTGTTTTAAATACTGTAATATGTTTTAGACGCACATATAATAGGCTTTGTATAAAAAACCTCCTACCTCATACCCACCTACCCACGTACGTGGGACATGATACAGTCTTTGAAGGGTTCAATTTTAAAGATCTTAGTTTATTAAATCTTAGTTTATGATGAATTATAGATGCATTTGTAACGACCCTTGATAGTAAGTTGCTACTACATCCCAGCTGGGTTCGATTCCCATGCGGGGCATCGAATTTAGCACACTTTCTTTCAATTTCTTTATCTGACTTGTTGGACCTATGCTCGCGGTCATTAGTTATTTATTCCCCTGGGGCGCCCTCGGATCATTACACATTAAAATGCATCCATATGCCTTTATTTATGGATCTGTCATCTGTCTAGTCATAACATATAGCCGGAATTGTAGACATGTTAATAATTTGAGCTATTTTGAGATTTAATAATCTTTAAAATCGAACCCTTCAATGACTGTATCATGTTCCACGTAGGTGGGTAGGTGGGTATGAGGTAGGAGGTTTTTTATACAAAGCACATATAATAATTTAATTTTAGTGTGCCATCGTTTCAAAGATGTAGATTCTAAATAAATAATAAATAAATAATATGAGCAACGGTGTCGGTATTGCTTTGAGAAATAAGTACAATGGATCAAAAAATGAATTTTTTTTTTCATTTCATCTCAACATGACCAGCATCATAGTAAAGCGTAATCATATAGATCAGATGCTTTAAATGTGAACCTGCATGTACTGCTTACTGGAACAAACTGAATTATTCGCTATATAGATCGTAGATATATTGACCACACACAAGACATATTCAGCTATTTAAATTATGATGATTCACATCGTAGAAACTGTAAGTTTATAAAGTAAGGATTTTCCTCTTAGTAAAATGCAAACACTCATGTAAACGGTGACTACAAATGCATGCAAGAAAATCAAATAAATGTTGACTAAATATTGCTGGCTCCTTCAGGGGAGTTGGCTAAACTCTCAAATTTCTAGAAAGCTATCTTACAAATAACCCAATGTGAAACTATCGGAAAAGAAATGGGAAAGTTAAGGCAGAATGAAGATCTACCAAGATCCAGATGAGTACGCTTGACAAAAATTGCTTCAATTTTAGAATATTTTGTGCTCATGATCGTATCATTCCTTGTCAAGTCTATTTTCAAAAATACCAAACGTGCATACTCTATTCGAGGAAAACGAATGATTTTTACAATATTACATTCATAATGTATTATTTTTCTATTTCCATAGTTACTTCTATGTATCATAACTTTTTTTGTACATTAGAGAGTCTATTTTGGTTTGGAAATACACAGAGCTAATTCGGTTTGATATTCAAGGCAGCAAGATTATCCTCTGCTAAACGGTCCGCATGTTCTTCAAAAAATCCTGTCGCAGCTCGAAGCATTTGGCGTAGCGCCACAAGGGCCAACATATCTGCAATAACCAGAACAACTTTATATTGCTGTAGTTGTTTTGGACTTGTGGCTTTCTTGGAGTTTAAATAGTGTGATAATAGTCATACTGCAGCATTAACAATAGGCTATGTTAATATGTAAATCAATGGAAAAAATATTTGGTGCTTGAGAAAACTTTTCCTTATTGACAGGCGTTCCTTAGAGGTGTTCTATCGGACAGGTTTTACTGTTTTAGGGTAGGCATCCCACGAAATAAATAGCTGATCTTATAATTACCTATGTAATCATCCAGCTCCATATCTGCCTCGTAGTTCCTCACAACCAAGACACTCGATGTCGGTACACTAAATTTGTCACTAACAGTTTTCACGATCTTTTGTAAGTTTGTACTCCTTAGCGCCATTGACGTGTCTTCTTGTACAAATTTACAGACATGGTCGATCTTGGTAAGAAGCAATACAACAGGTATTCCTGTTAAAAAATCACCATCTGACTGAATTATAAAAATTGGTATAACGCATATTCTTAATTATCCAATATACAAGGGGCGATCCATATATTCTGATAAAAATGCTCTTATTTTGTGATTTTTTCACATATCCCTCTCATTTTTTCAGAAAATGTAGATTATGTAATTACACATACAATGCTAAAATATTATAACTATATCTCAAATCATCAATGAGATAAGGCTGCCATGGTAACCTGTATTAAGGGTAGGCAGGTCAATTTAATTATAACATATAAATATCAAAATAACTTGTTATTTTAATTATTTTAAAGCATGCGGAAATCATGCATTTTTTCTAAAAAAGTTTGGTATTGTTACTCGTTGTTTGTTGCTAAACAAATGTTTATATGTGCTCACTATAACATCACAACAAATCACAATAGCATTGTAGGACAGAATGGGCCAATTGACATTACATGTTATGAGACACACCAAAAATCAAATTGTCAGATTAGGTTAATGTGGCTGATGCAGAGTGTCACATTAACTGATACATTAGGGAATACCATTAGATTTTCCATTATTCTTTCAAGAATAAGTAAGAGGACACTGTCAGAGACATACATGGACTCATAAAGTGCATTGGCAAGGTGTTATATCTGCATAAAGAATATATAGGTAGTATTGTAAAGAGGAAAGCATGGTCACTGTTGAAGATCATCCGCAATCTGATTGCAAGAAGAGCTTGCGGACAGAGAATAACACTACGATAAATTGAGATGTTACTTATGAAAATATAGCTATCCCACTGTATAAATTATCAAACAAGGGCAACAGGGGTATGGAACAGATAAATGAATAGTTGACAATGACTGGAAGATGCGTTTGATCTGCTTAAAATAGGTACCGAGGAATGATTAAATTAACATATTTATCTATTTTAGACGTTATAATTTAACTGACCTGCCTACCCTAAATACAGGTTACCATGGTAACCTTATTTCAAAATTAATTTAAGATACAGCTAAAATATTTTAGCATCGTATGTGTAATTACATAATCTACATGTTCTGAAAAAATGAAAGGGATATGTGAAAAAATCACAAAATGAGAGCCTTTTTATCAGAATATATGGATCGCCCCTTGTATTATTAACGAAATAATCTGTTTTACGGACCCCATTCACGACTTTTGGAGGTCAGACTGAAAAACACGGAATATGTGCCAAAAAATAATATTTTATTGAAGAACTACCAACAGTAATACTAATAATTTTTTTTAGAAAAGAAAAACTTAGAGTTTCGCGAAAAATCCACGCCATTTGATGCGATGGCCATCTCGAATTTTTATGCGTACCATTATTTATCTTTCTACCAGGTATTCGATTTATCGTTTGAAAAGACGTTGTGACCGACCGGCCGACCGACCAACGGACGGACGGAGAGCTTCATTATATCCCTACCAGACTTTGTTCGTTGGGATAATAATTTATATCTAAAATCCAATTAGATTTAGCATAACTAAACGTTTCATGGAAACCGAAAGGTTTCGAAGATACCTCTCTCATTTGCATAACTCTGGATTGTTTTCAGTTTTGTAATAATTGAATCAGACATCATAGATACGGTGCTGCCATCCATCACAATGGTGACGCAATGTATCATATTTCCAAGAGTAGGATTCTTAATGAAGCCAGCAATCGAAGGGGTTATTCTAGCAGCTGGATTGAACTAAAAAAAAATTAGAAGGAAATTTTATTTTCTCCATCGTATAGTTCGTACACTAGTTTTCCTCTCATATAAATCTCCTGACTTGGCCAAAGTATTCTCTGTTTACTTATTTTTGACATACTCTTAAAATTGTCTAAGCTGCCTTTTCAATTTATTATTGGATTTCATATTTTCCGAAAGCATGCTGATGAAACTTATAAACCACTTTTGGTAAACAGTATGCTGAATAAGTTCGTAGACACTATGCTCCAAGATTCTTTTTTCAACATTTCAAGCAATTTATACATACGAGTATAACAAGTCTTTACATGTTCATATAATTACCAAAAATGGCAACGAGGCGCATCTCGACGATAATTTATTAATAAGAATAATGACCATATGACTTCCCTTTTTAATTTGTATTGAGGTTTTGGTGAATTTCACAATTCGTACTTTGAACAGTATTGCAGCGCTAAATATGTCTTAATGACAACAATGGTATAGACCTAATATTACAATTGTGTCATTATTGGCATTCCAATTGGTTAAGGATTTTGTAAAAAATCAAACCGGAATTTCGAATCTCTTAAGTTAAGAAGGATGAGTTCATTCGATAGAAAACACGTTGTTGCTTTTATCCTTTATGCATACCTGGAATCTATCTGGGATGTTTCCATCTAGAATATATTGGAAATCTGCCCCATCGAATCCTTCTTCCTCAACTCCCATAGTATCACAAAGCTTTATACCCAACGGTTCCTCGTCCGTCCATATGTCATACTTTCTGTACTGTAACACGTTCAATTTTTACATACGCATTGACACTGAACAAATGTTTCACTCTATTGAGGTGAATACCTGTACATCTTTCACAAGTGGAATATCACCTTGTGAAAGTGCTACAGGTATTCACCGAAAATAGAGTGAAATATTTGTTTTATTATATCACTGTCTAGCTAAACATCCATAATATTATTAAGTCATTAAGTCTTCAGATATTTTTACGAATCTACTCGGTTCGTCTGCCATTTTGACTTACACTGAACTAAATTATTTACACTGGACGAAAATAAATTCTTTGAAAATTCCCGGGAGCGTGGGATATCGCTAGATATCTCACGGTTGTCTTATCTGATTAGCATTGCCATTGAATATCGCCAGTTATTCCATAGTTAGCATGATATTCATAGGATAACATGTGGATTTAAAAACGGTATTTTTTTAATCAGTGGTAAAATATGATATTTTTGACAAATTTTCATAGCATAGCATACCATAGCATACGTTTTTTTAGCCATGACATACGACGTCGTATGCTATGGTTTAAGGATTTTTGCTACTTCAGACTCAAAACGAGGCTTAGTGTAAACATCGCCGGATCGTTTGGAAAATTCGAAATAAATCACTTAATTTCCGACGATTCTGATGATGACTTTAACTATGGAATAAAAAGAACATCCTCTATATATCCCACGACATGTGACCCGGTTTTGACCAATCATACTGTCGCTAGCTAGATAGTGATATAATAATACAAAATATCACCACTTGAAAAAATGTTTCAAATCTTCACAGAAGTGCAATGCTGTTTTTATGGAACCCGACCCAATAATGCCGATAGCCAACCTCCCCTCACAATTGTTATTTTGACATTACGATACCATGGATCTTTTCAAAAAATGGAAGTTATTTTTCATTTCATTTTTTATTTTCAATTCTTTATTCTACTTTAAACAGACATTGGTCATTCTTACCTTAGTTGTAACGCTGTGACTTCCTCCTCCACAGCGTGCTTTGTGCACCACGTGACCTTTAAAGATAGATTGTAGTGTATTGTAGAAGCTGGATTTTCCTGCTCCTATTTGCCCGACGACCAAAATATTCGTGTGTTTCAAATTAAGTTGTCGAAGAGGATTGTAATTCAGAATGTAGTCCTTCAACTTTTCCAAATCCTAAAATACATGAAATGGCTATGTCAGTTACAATAACAATAGTATGGTAAATCGTATAGGACTACAGAACATCGGGGTCATCATTTACAAGAATCTGGTACAATCCTCTATTCTATCGTGTCTCATTTGTTATATGTATATCAATGTTATATGGAGTGTAAATGATAACGCTTGAAAAACATAATTATCATTTCATGGTGTCAATGTCTATATTTCATTAGTACATATGTATAACTCAAAGGTTGGTGTTTATAAGATGTACATTTTGAGACAAAATATACATTGCATGGAATGAATACTAGAATATGTCTTCTGCCAAGATATTCAACCGGCACTCTAAAATAGTTTTAATCCCGAGGTGATGATCTGGATAAGTTCGTGTACATGAGTGTCCATTTTAAAGATCCTTTCTAAAGAAGTGTTTTATTTGAAACAAACATGAACTTCTTGTTACTGTACCTCTGCTTTCCAGTTCACACCTTTACGCCAAGGTGACTTTTCTAAAGATATATGTTCATCTTGACCTTCTTGAATTTCATAGACTTCAAAATCAGTATACAGATGGTTGGCACCATTGAATTCTTGGCAGGACATCCCTTTGTATGCGTTATCTATGTTATACGTCACATCGCTTGTCCAATGTACTCCAGTTAATTTCCCACTACCTGAGAAAGATAGCCACTGGTAATATCCAAATGTTGGACCATAACTGCCATTACCATGAATTGCTCGTTCATGGTTCGAGCACGGAGCTTTCTTCGGATCAAACACATTGTTTGCACTCAAGCGGAACAGAAACGAAGTCGATGGATTGCTGTCGGCAGTATTAGAATTCGCCTGGTGCCACGCCAACCCTATGTAGCCACCAAATACGTAACCAGCTGTGTTAGTAGCGACTGTGACGGTAGGCTTACGTCCGTCACATTGTTGATGGAAAATTGCAGGGTCCAATCCACCATCTCTATTAGCGCTGTAGATTAACACAAACTTGCCGGTTTGACGGCCAATCCATTGTAGCAGTTGCTCCTTAAACTGTTTCGTCAAAGTTCCCGAATCGGCAGCTGCCATCGCAGTAAATACTAAATTATTATCAAAATCAGACCCCTCTTTCAACACTCAACTATGGGAAAGGGATCTCCGATCTAATAAAACGAAACAGAAAATATTAAATTGTAGATCACATTCATGTGTTACAATTCCTCGAAGAAAAGCAATGAATATATGCCGTTTAAGGAAAACGAAATCTACTTCGGAGAAGTGGTACAATGTCACAATGACTCGTACGGTGAGATATAATGTTATTGAAATGCAGTAGGAGACTCGATGTTTACCATATCTCTAAGTAAACACAACGTTTTTTAACATATAAAACTAAGTGATATTTGGAAAATTCTAAAAATCAAATACGTAAGCAGGAAATTTTATTACACTGGAAACATGATACCTCTTTAGAAAAGTATTGTATTTTAATTGTCAATTTTCTTTCAAAATATAATTATTTGGTGGCAAATATGCTGCGCTTCCTACAATAATTATTTATTATATTTCAATTAAAACAAAAATCTGTATCTGTAAAATTTCTGTAACTAAACTTATGCTCTTTCAAAGATAGCAGATATCGTAAAATCCCATTGAAATCAATCTTGCGCGAAATAATAATCAACAAATTCAAGTTCAACTTGTTTTTGTCTTTAGGATTCACATTTCAAAATAAACAACACATACCCATCAGTGATTAAGGAAGAAAAAACTACTATATAGATAAATACACGACTTGGCATTATACCAATACAATGTTTGTCCATGAGCTTGCCTAGCAACCACCTAGCAACGGCATATTCATTGAATTCGTGAAATTGAGAAATTGGGTATTGGCACGCCCGGTGATCGTACAAATGGGATGGAGGGGGGGAGGGGGGGGTATTAGGCGATTTCTGCAAGAAAAATCAACACATTTGGAAGATTTATTTTATCAAGAGGAAATATACAACTGAATTGCAAAATGAGTAGGCGCAGTGCATGGCAAAATATGTCAGGTCATCTAGTATTTTTTTGAACTGATACCCTTCTAAGATATGAGATTATGAGATCTATTAAGAAAGGCGCATCATCACCAACGTGCAATGTTTTTGCTATAAATCGGTCAACAATGGTCTACACGACCTGTAATAAATAGATATAAGGGACGTTATTATCACAATACTAATGACATTGCTCACTTTTAAAAGTTAGTTTCCATGCGTTATACAAAAAATGATCAAAATAAATTAATATCGGATGGAGGGGAGATCGGATGGAGGGAGGATCACTTGTATATAAGACATGATAAGACATGCTACTTGAATTTATTCTTACGACTCCAAATTTCCCCATTTTCATTCTCCAGAGATATAATATCCAGTTTCTAACTGAGGTACTGAGTTAAGTTTTTTCAAATACACGGGTTCATGTGAATTTGTTCCATAATAAAGACATATCAATCCCCCCTCCATCCGATCCCCCTCCATCCGATATTAATTTATTCTCGATTATTTTTTGTATAACGCATGGAAACTTACTTTAAAAAATGAGCATTTTGGCATTAGTATTGTGATAATAACAAAAATTAAACATAAAATCCCTTAGTATTCCTCAGAATAATTTTTAAAACCTACACAATACCCACATCATCGTTTTTGCTTCATATCAGTTAGAATAGTGACACCGTACATCTAAAGTGCACGACAGTATATTTTTGTCACTGTTCGTTGTCGATGGTTAGGCGTGGTTCTTGAAAAAAATTCTCTCAAATTAGTACGCGATTCGTGAATACTTAGCGATTGATAATGCAAACATAAGGGACATATTTGAAGTTTGAGTAAACATGAGATACATCATTTTTTACGTTATTGCATTTTTAATGTTTGGGAAGCAGTCGTTTTTCACATGATATAATTATTATGTAGTGAAATGTTATCCTTATACCAAGGAGTAAATGCTTTTAAAATGACCGACAGGCGGAGAACAATGGCCTTCAGGACTGTCAATAGATGGCACAAAAAATCAGTGGGTTTAATAGCATACTTTAACATGTAAAAACATGTATAACATGTATAAATGAATTTTAAAATATGTTTGTAAATATTAATGAAGGAAAATATGATATTAATTTGATATGTATTGTGAATTTGAAGTTTTAAAACAGCAATATTTACACACAAACCAATGGGCCACATGTGAAGAACAACCTAGTAGTTACAAAATGGTGAATTAATATGACGTAATATTGTTTTTATTTAATTGTTTTGTAGCGCTTCAGTTCAGTTTTTATACAGTTGAAAAAGGATCCAGACAGGATTCGAAACGTCCTGGTTATAGTAAAATAAAGGTTGTGGAAAGAAGAAAAAAATATTTTGTGATTTGATTAGCCAACCTGAAGAACATGTTTAAGAAAACCTAGTAGTTAACTGCCATCTATACGAGTCCTGGCTCCCATTGGATTGCAACTAAACCCAACCAGTGTAGTTGGATGCTTAAAACATGATACAAAGAAAATTCTAAAGTATTTGATTTTTATAATGCAGTATAACAATATAATGTCAATGTTACTATAATTGATTTAAAATGTTTTTTCTTATGAATAAAAAGGAATAAAAAAGTAACTATCTACTATAGCACGTATGCTGTAGCTCAGACCACAACAATGTAAATACGATGGATCACATTCCATATTAATAATATATTCATCTAACTTAAATAGTGACTGGATTAATGCAACACAGCCGGTATGTCTCTCGCAAAGATGTCCTATACTGCTTTAGGTTTTGCGATCGTTGTAGGACTCGAATTTGTACTCTGTCAGGTAGGATATAGTATATTTTTATATGAATAGTGCGTCAGGGTATCGTGTTATATATGAATCTATATCTAAACAGGTCAATGGTAATGTGATGCCATCTAGATCTTTTTGACCCAGATGAATTTAATTTTGTTGTAATTAGTCATCGACCACATTTGCTCCAAATCATTTTATTCTGATCAGTTGTACATTCATAGGATTGTTTATTTGTATATCATATAGCTTTAACAATGATTATAGGTAAAGATTAAAAGGTGGATTGGATCGAGTGGATTGGATTCATGTAAAAGGTGGATTGGATTGGATATCTTCAAAATATGGATTTTCCTTTAAAAAAATTCTATTGATCTCCCTCTAGGAAGATATTGGTGCTCTCTTCACTTGCACAATGTCAAATAATAGATGTAATATTATTTTGCTTGGGTGGGCTAGAAGGATGACCTGGTACCCGCTTTCTGATATACGATCTTATTCATTCCAAGTGTAATTTGAGACATTTCATTAATCATAAGGCAGACTGGTTTGAAGATCCATATCATCCGTTTTCAATCCAAACTGAACGTGCCAGAAATGCTTGTGAACATTCACACATCAATTTGAATGACAGGTTTTCTTTTTCTAAAGATCTATGTCTTACAAAAGTTGATTTACAAGGAAAGCAGTTAAATACTTAAGAGTGTCCATGAACTAATTGGAGTATGTATTTGTCATTGCTTTGTTCTGATTTCTCAAAAGGGACCTGTAATACTGTAGAGGGAAATTGTTAAGAGGGAGATCAACAGAATTATTTTTATAAGAAATTCGACATTTTCAAGATTCCCGATCCAATCCACCTTTTACATGAATCCAATCCATTCGATCCAATCCACCTTTTAATCTCTACCTGATTATATATTTAGTAATTTATATTTGCTCATCAAACTACAAGGTAGGCGTTCCTAATAGTAATGATTTAGTAATTTAGTTAATTTTATTCCGTTTTTAGCATTTTTCCGAAAAATAGTTGCCCAAAATATTAATATATAAGACCTGTTATTTAATTATTGTTTTCAAAGCTCTGTTCACGTCCATCGACCACTAAAATTGAAAACGGGGCCATTAAACCGAAATGTTCCAAGAAGGGCGGATGTTCTTTACTGACCATAAAATGTTCCAGCTGCGCTAAACGGGTCGGGCCTGAGAAGATAAAATGCGTTGGTGGAGAATGGGCCGCAATGAACAGTAGCTGTATCAGTAAGCAATGACAATTTTCTACTGTATTTTTCTAACTCTGAACTTATTTAAACAGCGTTTGTTTTATAAGCCGTTGCTTTTAATATCAATATATAAAAGTCCATTAATATCACAATATTTATAATCGGTTAAAGGACAAGTGTATGTCAATAATACAGCCTTAGCACAATGCAGTTGTATTCCCATATAAAACGATAGAAGATAAGTAAATGTCATCATCAACTAGTATTGTAGCAACTCCACGGAGAAGCAAATACCACTGAACAAAACATATTTTGATAAATAGTGTCGATCTTAAAATTTCCTCTTAAACAGAGCTCCTTTGTCCCTGGGTATACGTATCAGCATACACAATTTGAACCATATCCGTTCACTGTTTTTTTTGTTATCAAAGGTATCATTCTGAGAAAAAGCAACCATCTTGGAATCTTGGAAAAAATCCTTAGCGGATCGGAGCTCCCTCATCTTTAGCATCAGCAAAATCCGTCCACTAGTTTTTAAGTTATCAAATATAACATTCTAAGAAAGAGACGCCATCTTGGAAATTTCTTCTTGAGCAGAGCTCTCTTATCACAAGAATCAGCAAATAAAATTTGAACCAAATCCGTCCACTTGTATTTGATTTATCAAAGAAAACGTTTTTTCATGAAAATGGCGGCAATTTTGAAATTGTGTTTTTTTAAATTGAAATTTAAAACTGCTGTGAGCCACCGGTAACTGAATAGATAAAACATAGCACCATCAATTAAATTTTGTGTGGACAACTGACAAGTAATATAAAGGAAACAAAATGTTATCAATTAAAGCTACTTCATGTGGACCACTACAGTTAGCAGCGAATATAATTGCTTCAAGTGATAGCACACATTGTGGCGCAGTAATCAAGCTGAAATGTGCTGACGGGTACGAGCCATCCAAAATTACTAAGATGGTCTGTAAGTCAACAGGAAAATGGAAAGGGAAACGGCTAAAATGCACAAGTGAGTAAAAATAAATATATTTCGTTACTTCGTTATTTTTTGTAATGTTCCTATTATTCAAAGGATATTTTTAGGAGCTTTACTTCTTTGTTTTATTCGATTAAATACATATTTTTTATATATATATCATACATTAATGTGGGCAATAAATCCGAATTAAACTAAATATGACCCAGGAAAACACCACGCCCACCCACCTCAGTGATTTTACGATATATACATGTATATTTGAGATTTTTTATGAAAACAATCCAATCATACCTTCAGTTTTACTTTTTAAATCAATTGGAGATTAATATTTACTTAAATCAAATAAAAACTAATATCGCTAAGAACCTTAAACGTTATATTCATCCTAATCTAGTATTACTTCATTTGTCAATCTTAAAGATAATGTCACACTGTAATATACGTTACTCTGTAGAAATCAATAACAGATGTGCCGACCTCGCTGTTCCAAAAAACGCCAGGGTGTTAACAGGTCGTCTAGCAGACAATAATGTGGGGGATTACACTGTCTTCGAATGTAAGGAAAGCTACAAAGCTATTGGCAGAAAGAAAATCAGGTGTCTAAAAGGTGGTCGATGGAGTGATCCACTTGTAGAATGCAAAGGTGTTGTTATTTATAAACTAACATCTGGATATACTTCAATGACATAATCATATTAGTTCATCATATACGAATAAAAAAGTAGTGCATTAACAGTTTGCTGGACTCAACAATTAATACGGAGTTGTATCTAATTATCAGTCTACGAATTGAAGCTAAACAACATTATTTCAAATAATGTCTCGAAATGATTTTCGGTCATAAAGACAAGTATTTGGAAATGAAAAGCTGTATTTCAAAACATATAAAATATATTATTTTCAGCCGGTGGCAAATGCCCTGATATTTTCCCAGGTGATACCCCGGGCTTACAAGTTCTGATGGGCAAACCAAGTAATAACGTTTATGAGGACAAAGTTTCATTCGCATGCGAGCCTGGTTTTGTCCTGATGGGTCATCCTAGGATCACGTGTATGTTCGAATCTGTATGGACACAAACAACGCCTATATGTATAAGTAAGAATATCAACGTTCAGCAAAAAAAAACACAATGCTTATATATCGTAGATGTCCTTATTGAATGGATATTCCATAAGCTAGATGGTTATCCAGTTGAAGCTAATTAACTTTTTGTTAGAAACAATGCCTTCTGAATATAGACTCCCTATTATTTTGTTATGCATACTCAAAGATTAACCTCTCAGAATCATTGCCCATTTTAAGCTGTGCTGCGGACTCTCGTTAGATGGAACGTCTAACGACAAAATAATGTCATCGACTGTAATAACTGTCTGCTTTTGTTATTCAGTCCATGTAAGAGATTCAACAATAAACATCGTCGACAAGATAGGTACCGCATAACTTTTGTTCTAGAAACGAGTTCTACGCAGTGTCCAATGTTAAGTGTCCCCGATAATGGATTCATAACAAATGGGAAAGTGTCAAACAATACAATTGGTGATACAGTAACGTTTGCGTGTGACCCGGGGTATACACTCGATGGAACTCATACATTGACATGTATTAACCGATACACTTATGACCTTCCTGGGGATGATACAGATGGATTAGTATGGGACATCACCATGCCCGTGTGTAGATGTACGTACTGTCTGTTTTTAGTGAAATACGATGTATATATGTAAGCACAAGTGCCCAAAAGGGATAAGATGAATGTAAAAGATATATAGGATAACAGAAATATAGTGATGGAGTTTAACATTACTTTCGTTGTAGTGTCAGATACAGGGGATTGCCCTGACCTTGTCCTACCAAAATATGGATATTTGGTTGGCGCTGGACGCCTTACCGGAAACAAAGTGGGAGATCGAATCGTTGGTTCATGCAGGAAGCCATATTTGAAACAAGGGAAGCGAGTACTTGAATGCCTGCCAGATGGAAATTGGGACACAGCTATGTTCAAGTGCTTTGGTATAAATTATAAAGTGTTTAATTAAATATGCTCGGTAACATTTCAACATAATTCCTAGAACAAGGGTTGAAAAGAATTCTCGTACTTCTATTGGTAGGTAGGTGATTTCCCTAACCCGACATATCAATTAAAGAATTCTCAATTTTATTGAAGTTACTTTGAGGTGGAAAGTCTCAAACAAATGTTGATGACGGAAAGCCAAAACGATAGAATTTCCATCAGTTCAATTTTTAACATTTCAATTAATATTTGTATTACGTGTTTTACAGGACAAAGCTAATAGACAAACGTGTACTCTTACTTAGCAACTTTAATTACCTAGTCCAAAAGTGTTTTTAGGGTTCAAGGGAAAAATACAACTGTAGCCTCATGCAACAATACCTTAGGAGGTTTTAAGTATCACTGAAGAAATCAAGAAAATTTTTAATTCAGATAATAACAATCAATTTGGAATGGCCGATGGTGTCTCTCCAGAATATGTTTGCAATTTTTCTGTTGTTCGTTTTTTTTGCAGAAATTGATGTTTCGTGTCCTACCGTTACTCTGGACACAAACAGCAAGTTAGTTGTCCTTCGTGGACAACTTTCCGGGAATATATTCTACGATCGAATTATCTTTGGCTGTCAGTCCGGCTACGCTATTCTTGAGGATATATATTACATGCTGTGTAACAGGACTGGTGGATGGACTCAACAAATTCCAGTTTGTACAGGTATAAAACTTTATTGATTTCAAGACAATCATATTGTTTTTCTGAAAAAATTGTTTGGGGGTAAAATGTGGCTTCGTACTTATGGCCCTATTATGATTAATAATCTTCACCCGGTAATTGTAAATTGGAAAATACATAGACATAATCTTATTATTACAACGTTATTTAGGATGCGGGGAGGGGTAATTTTAATAAAAAATCTTTTTTTAGGTTCGATTCATCGTTTATTGTCTTTGGACAGTGATATGACGAAGTAAAGTGACCCTGTGATTTCCGACTTGCAGTACTATTATGATTATGTCTAAACGTAATAAGAATTGTCCCAAGCATACATGATGTTTGATAATCAATTGCTATATTTTATGGACGTATAGAACTACGCAACAAATGATGACGTAGTACACAGCGTTATAAATACATGTTATCTATACTTTCATTTTTAGAATCTGGTTGTAAGTCTTCAGAGACACTTCTGGAACATGGTACAGTGAACGGCACTGTCGAATCTGGTAGATATTCTAATTGGGCAAAATTAAGGTACGAGTGTGATGAATGTTATCAACTCATTGGAGCCGACATTCGAACCTGTCAGAATACAGGGGTGTGGTCCCCGTTGCACCCTCCTAGTTGCACATGTATATGCACTAGATTATCGACAAATCTAGATCTGATCGCAGTATAACCATCCACGCCCAAATAAGTGATAAACCACCATTCTATTATTTCTCTTAATTTTATAACTGGCTGGCCAGTATTTAGCATCGTAAACTTTTGGGCTTATGTTAGAGCTACGCACATTGTTGCCCGTGCTTTGCGTATTAATCAATTTTGAATAAATCCGAAGATAAGAGGTATTGAATCGAGCATATGCACTTACCTACCTATCCAACTCCCATAAGGGGGGGGGGGGGGGTCAGATGGTTTATACATTCAAGACTATAACGACTTACTGTTATCTTACTTTCAGTTCGCACTTGCAATGGAATCAGATCTCTTCAACATGGGTCAATATTTCCAAATAAAGAGACAGTCGCATGCGGATCATCGGTCACTATACAGTGTAATAGGGGGTATGTGATAAAAGGAGAGAACAGACGATCAAAAGAGATACACTGTGAGACTGATGGATGGAACCCTAGGGTGACGCCTATATGCATGTGTAAGCCACACCATCAATGTGTGAAAATTTCTATGTCCTTTTTAACTGAGAGTTAAGCACTCTTTTAAAATGACTTTTTACGATGCCTTCTGCACCATTTACGATGTCTACTAAAATTTAATCAAGAATAGAAAAATGTCCAAAAATTAACAGTTCATACATATTGAATAACGTTCTCGAAAGGTAAAATTATCTTTAACTGCCGTGTAACAATCTACCAGTGGTAACGATTCCTCCATGTTTCCGTGTCAAGCTATTCAAATATGCAATTTCAGATAGCTGTATGTATAATACATGATAAACGATTTTAGTGAATGCAACCTGTGAAGACCCACCCAAAGAAATTACCAATGGAAATGTGTTTATCACAAGCAGTGGTGGACCCCTTAGGATAGGAGAGAACGTAACGTTCATGTGCAATGAATGCTATAAACTGGAGGGGAATGATAAAATGACATGTTTAGAGAGTCAGAATTGGAGCAGTGATGTACCTCGGTGTGTTCGTAAGTTAACTACGACCAATTAATGTTAAATAACAATTAATCTCGTTTTGCCACTTTTGACAAAATATTCTCTTTTTGTCTTAGCCTTTGACGTAAGCCTAGTGATTTTGGGTCTTATGGTCACACATGGTTTTGTGTAAAATTGTGGAACAATGCTTTTTTCAAAGATCGTGAGGTCTTTCAGCTTATACGTCATGTACTTGTGTTCTCAAGACGAATGGTGGACCGACGATATTAATGTGACCTTATGGGACCTCTGGCACGTATAGTAGGCACTATAGATTCCTATTCGTTTTTGTGGGGAAAATAATCTTGCAACATAAATTACCGTACTTTATAATACATTTGTAGCAAGAACTTGTGAAGATATCAACAGCGACTGGATATCAGTGATGCCAAATAATCCTTTAGTACAACATGAGCCAAGTGATACGTTATATAAACTTATTACAAGTGACTACTCCTGCAATTATAAAATATCATGCATGGGTAAGTGTGAAAGAAACAAAGGTAATATATGCAGTCAAAATGGAAGCAGTTGCATCTATTTTTTCGCTAAATATATTCATGTATTACAAGGATAAATTATAACTTTGAGGGATAATACTAGTATACGTTATTATCCATACGTTCTGTCTCTGACGACCCGAGGGCCTCTGGGGAATCGCCAAAACCCGAGCCAGTACGTGAGTACCTGGTAAAGGAGCAGATTGACATCAAGGGTAGTTAAAATATATCCATGGACTCGGTTGGCAATGAACGAGTAGGTTTATATTTACAGCACCTTGTGACGTTATATTATAGAACCAGTGTTCCCTATGTGTGGTCTACCTTCTATTAAACCTACTACAAGTGGTAGGATTGTCAAAGGCGTTGAAGCAAACAGTCATAGTTGGCCATGGGCAGCAGCATTGTTCTGGAATTTTAGCCAGTTGTGTGGAGGTTCACTTATACATCCACAGTGGGTTCTTTCTGCCGCTCATTGCGTTGTCAGCCCAAAGTTTAATGGAAATAGGTGAGTTGTCCTTTATGTACCGTCAGTTTCATGTATACCAATGGTTAAACTTGACATTTTTCATTTTGAAATAAAGAGTTTAATCATCAGGATTAAATCAAGAACTTAAGCAGGTCGTCCTGGAATTGACAAGGAAAAAGAACTGTTTTACAATAATAAACATTCTGAAAATCACCGAAGTAGTAATATTGACAATCTGAAGAAGACCCGTAGGAAACCAAATAAAAGGCAATTGAGTCGATTATATGTGATATTTGCAGTTGCATACACACTATGCAACTACACACATACATACACAACAATTTTCTGCATTCCAAAGGTTTATTGGTATTCACAATTTCACCGATATCCCAAAGTGGCAAATCAAACTGGGAAAACACAAGCTGTCTAAATTAGAACAAGGCGAAATCACGACAGACGTTTCAAAAATTGTTCTTCATCCCGAGTATGTACCAAGAAACTATAGATACGACTTTTCGTTATTTAAATTAGAGAAACCGGTAGCATTTACCAGGAATATCATACCAGTATGTGTACCTTCAGTCAACTACTTTTCTGAAATAATTGATGATGCTCGAGATGAGGAAACGGCGTGGGAATTGCAATCTTCAAAGGATATGAACTGTACAGCCATTGGATGGGGACGTAAGTCTTTTTCTAATAAACCCATATAGCTGTGCCTTTCGCTAGGTATGTTTGGACCTTGCTACATGTATATGAGTCATTGTCAAAACGAAAAGTTTTTCAACAGTGTGTTGTGTAGTTTTCAGATTTCCAAAAGGATTCATGCCTGGGTATGTGCATTTGTTTCAGTGGACGAAACAGGGAATAAAAGCGATGCTTTACTACAAGTGGCCCTGCCGATCATTCCCAATAAAGTATGCAAGTCCCTTAAGCAGCGGAGCCCATTCCTTCATGAGTCAGGATTTTGCGCTGGTGGTACTCAGAAAGACACATGCGGTGTAATTTTTACTATAGTTATGTTTAGTTAAAGTAAGATTAGTTTAGTTTAGTCTAGTTAATTATCGTTCTTTCGATAGTCAAAGTGAAACCGATCCATAATCCATAGTGGAGCCAAGCTTGTTTGGGTTAACATTTAATTTCACTGGTTCAAACAATTTTGTGATAAAATCTTGTTTATTTTGGTAACTTTGCCAGATGTTGTATTTTTATTTGTAATGTATGAAGTGGCTTATATAAACCATCAATGATTAAGATAGAATCGAATACGTATACACTGTTTATAGGGTGATTCTGGTGGAGCTTACATGTGTAGGGTTGGCTCAAGGTGGATGCTAGCGGGTCTCACGAGTCACGGCCCAACGAGATGTGGAACTAAAGACGTACCTGGTGTATACGCCAGGGTGACACCAAGTACTTATAAGTGGATCACAGACACCATCGCGGCAGACAACATGTAATAAATGTACATGACTTTTCAAATCTGAAACTCCATTAGAATACACGACACGTTATCAAGCTACTGAAGTCCAATAGAATATTTTAGCGATATATAAGTTTCATATGATATAAAAAAGCAACTAGTCCTTACATTCTGATAAAAATGCTCTACTTTTCATTCACCAATTATATGTTTGAGTTCAGTGGACGACATTTTCTTCCTGAACAAAGCACATCAGTATATACGATTTGAACCAAATCCATCCACTGGTATTTGAGGTATCAACTATTATGTTTTTCCAAAAATGGTGGCCATTTTGAAATTTAGCTGCTATCTTGATTTTTCAATAGCAGTGTTTCTTTGTCCCGATGTAATAGCATAAGAAATTTTAAAATCAGTTACCAGAGTTCCTTTGTCAATTGAATCTTTCAACTGGTAATTGAGTTAACAAAGATTATATTTCTAATGACAAATTGCAGCCATTGTGATAAATAGCCCCATTTTGAAAAATCTCGAGCAGACCTCCTTCATCCCTAAGCATCAGCATATAAAATTTAAACAAATATTTGATTTTCAAAGATACGAAAAATGATGGCCATTTCCTCGCGAGCAGTTTTCCTAGACATTAGCCTATTATAATTGAACCAAATCAATTCACTGATATTTGAGTTATCAAAAATTACAGTTCAACAAAAATGGCAGCGATTTTGAAATTTAACCGCCATGTTAAAAAATCATTCTAGAGCGGAGCTTGTTTGTCGCTAGGACATTATAACTAAAAAAATGGTTGCCATTTTGAAATTCTTTCTTGAAAAGAGCGATTGTCTTCCTAGGCATCAAAATATAACATTTGGACCAAATCTGTTCACTCGTATTTGAGCTATAAAAGACTATCTTTACAAAAAAATGGAGTTACTGTTGTCCCTAGGCATCAGCATACATAAAATGCATGGTATAAAATGTAAAACAAATCCGTTCACTAATACTCGACCATGAGGCATAAGTGAGGCATAATCCTATACAATTTTGGTGTTTGGGTTACCCCACTCACGAACAGACGGACGAATGAACGGACGGGTGGCTTTTGCAATATCCCCCACGAACTTAGTCCGGTGGGGTGATCATAGGTTCGTTAGGACTGCAGTTCTAGGTTCCTAATGTATAGGGATGGACAGCAATGAAAAAAGATTCTTCAAAGGAATTCTAATCAGCAGTACTGAGCCGAAGTGAAACCTCCCTTGCAAGCGATCTAACCGTAGCACTTGCTTTGTAAACTTTACTCCATAATATATCTGATTAAAAATTTAACACATCGTCAATTTAATGGTCATCTTTTGAATGGTAACAATATAATTGGAAATATATATATATTTATCCCATACTTGGACGTGTTACGGGTACATACAGCTTGTTTGTAAAAACTTATATTTTCATCAGCGGGCAGATATAGCTTTACGTCCCGCTCTGAGCGGGCAGATATAGTATATCTGCCCGCTACGTCATAATCGCCGCTCGCATATTTGTTCATAATTTGTAACGTTCGCGTAATAACTGTAAACTACAATGGAGAAAACACAGACAATCGGGATCTGTTTGATGGTTTAAAAAAGGGAAAGAGCATCCACTTATTAATAATCAGTCAAAAATTCGAGAAAATAAATGTGGGAATATTTGAGAGAACAGGAAAATCCGCCCACGGCCAAGAAAACGAAACTGGACATGAATATTCTAAACTATTTCCACGATTGAACAATGTGAACCAGGTGACCAAGATTGGTATGGGATAAACATATTATCCTATAGTCGGTTCAGGATATTGGGATTATCCCTTGGCCAATATAATATATTTTCCCTTGGGACCTGCGGCCCTCGGGCAAATATATTATATTTGCCTCGGGATAATCCCAATATCCTGAACCTCATATAGGATAATCTCTATATATACTTTCATCTATATTGTTTTAGAAAACACATCAACCACTTGTTTTGTCCTTGGTATCATGTTTCAAGAGTGAAATGAAACATCTTTCCGAACCTCACACAACGAGAAACACTATATAATAAACATCAATACGATGAGCTAATAGATTTATTATCCAAATTGAATAATAAATAATAAGATCAGTTACTGTTGAATAACATTCTGCCCGGGATTTGTCATTAATCATATAGAAATGTCTTATCCGAACAGCTTGCATGTACGTATTATCCGTTGCGGCCATTAACAATTTTACATATCTAATTAGCTAAGTAAATAAACATGCGTCGACACAGTCGCAGTTGACTATGAAAAGCTCAATCATCAATCTTATTTTTATTTTCTCGATTTAAAGATTTATTTTGTTTAAAAAAGAAAATGTTTGATTTTTAAGTTCAACATTTAATTCTTATTATCAAGAACGCGCATGCAAATTCGCCAACCATGTACATTGTTTGCAGTCTGAGCAATTTAATGTAAATCATTGTATATTTTTCGATATACTGTAATACTATTCATTATTTGATAAATTGAACCGATTAAATATAATCTAAAATTAATCAGCTTTAAATACATTATATGTCATAAAAGTTGCCTTAAAACAATACAATTCGTGCGTTTGTAAATGCTCTAAAGCCCCGCTAGTATATGAACGAATCCTAGATAGAAATGAGTAAAATTCATTCCCATTAGTGTGTACACGTTCTACACCGAGACTTCTCCTTTAAATCAAATCAGTCCACTAGTATGAGTTAAGAATGGACAGAGGGACGGATGGCTTCATTCAATGGGATAATTAAGATATTTCAAAACCAGTGCCATTCTTCTATGCATACATCACTCCAATCATAACATGAAACAAGCTGATTATTTTAAAACTATTCTTTACGAATCTATGATAAGTGTATAATGTTCAATCATACAAATCGCAGTCAGTGATTGTTCTCCACACTCACCCCTCCACCTTCCTGACATGAACTATTTTGTAAAACCATTGACAGTGTGGAAAGGATTTTTACACTCGAGTGTCAAGGGGGGGGGGGGGGCGTTACAGAAATATACAAGGCGATGGTTCAAATTGGACAATTTTCAAAACTGCTCAACATGGTGAAAACTTCACGTTTTTAAAGAATGCTTGCCTGGCGAGTGGTTTGCTCTGGATTGCGAGCGAACAAAAACTTTGAGTTAGGATTTTTCCTAATACTATCTATACTAAACAACTTTTTAAACCGTCTCTGACTACATATCATGCCAATTAATACCATTATTGTGTTGACAGGATTAAATATGATATCTATGGAATTATAATTTAATGAACTCAATAGTCAAAATGATAATAACTTCATAATTTAGTCTTGGCTGACGTAGTCTTGCACCATCAGAGTTGGATTGCAAATACCTCCCTAAATCAAATATTTAAAATTTACAAATTTACTAGTGTACGGGGTGGGGAAACAAGTCTCCATCCAACCACTAAAGTTTAAAAGGAAGACTATAGTGTCCCGTGAATTCATTATAATTATCTTAGACAATAGTGAAGCGGTACAATCATTGGAGTGTTAATTAATCGGAATGCAAGTTTGATTTAAAATAACTCCTTTAGATCAAATATTTAAATTCTACTAGAATGCGGGGAGGGGAAACAAGTCTCCATTCAAGCACTAAATATCAAAAGAAAGATTTCAGTACCCATTAACTTCACTCCCGGACTTTACTATTCACCACCACCTCTCCCCCTTCCCCAAGTATCCCTTATGACCCCAGAATGTTCGTTTCTGTGCCCCCCCCCTGTCCATGGCCAGTAAGTAATCTATGTGTATATATCTGTATAAAACCAGATGCAGGCATAGACATTGACAAGGTGAGGGGATTTAAATATAAAAATAGTCTTGTTTTTGGCTCCGACTTATATATTTTGGCACTGTTTAACGAAGCCGGTTTAAGGAATGAGAGGCAGAAATAATTCCTAGAAATAAGATGGCCTCATCGCGATAGCCGCGACCCCTTTGTCTTTATCCTTCCACAATCGGCAGATAAGAGTGGCTCTGGCAATACAGAATGAGATGGCCTGTCTTTACCGTAATCAAGATATGGTACCTAACCGCAGTTATTTTGGTTTTATAACGGGGATATTGCTCGAGCTTGAATAACAAATAAAAGGCATGTTCTTATTTCTGTATTCTGACCTTTGATTGTGTATTAAGTTGAGCTGCACGCCAAACGTTAAGATTGTTAAAACGCTGAAAATAAAACTTTATTCCTCTCAATTTACATAAAAATGAAACAGATTAGATTCGAATCTCAGTCACACCAGCACCACTGGTCAAAGGAAGTACAAATATCTATATTAATCAAATGTCTGAGAATTTGATGACTGTCTGGGATCCAATGTTAATTTTATTGAAGCAAACTAAGAAAAGATGAATTTTAAACGTTTAGAGGGAAAAGTCAAATATGCATTGTAACCCTAAAAATAATTCATTAAAGTGTCGTACACATTTTATAACATTTCTATAAATAAAACAAATAAAGCACAACCCTAATGCCCTATAATGAATTCATATCGGCGCTAAACGGCCCTTGCAATAAAAACGCATCGAAGCAGGGAATGCTTGGAAAATTCTTCCGAAACTGACTTTTGTTATTTCAAAATTGAAATATGCCTAATTCCTATGAACACGCGATCTTTTTCCCTGGGTTTTACTCTATTTTAGATTTACTAGAAAAATGTTTATATGATGATTGCGTTTGCTTCTCACGAGTTCATTGAAACGTTCAGTCGTAAAACTTTAGAGATCAAAAGACTTATTAGGCACCTGATTGCGAAAGTTTGATTGCATTTCGATCGCCGGGATACAAACGTATTGTTTAAGTAGCGATCGTGTTCTTGGGATCTTGATAACTTCCTATTTTAAGTTTTGGGTTGAAAGCAATGAGTATGTCGGACTTTCTCAAGTCCACATAATGAAACAATATCCCTTTATATTAGTCCAATCGGAATTTGCATAAACATACCAGTTTTATATTGCAAAAAGAACTGT